AATGAAAGAGAAGGTTGGGCTTGGAATCAGACTCTATGTGGCTGAGTGTTTTGCATCTCAAAAGATCAGTCCTCTGTCTGTAAAATAAAGGTAGTGAACATCACCATTTGATCTAAGTTGACCAGCTGTCCCCATTTGCCGGGGACTAAGGCATCTCCTTGGGATGAAATGCTGAAACCAGGAAGGTGCCGGGAAAACCAGATGCCACCTTCATCCTAAGCACAAGCCCTGACAGCAATCTGCAGAGACGTGTCTGACGTTTCCCTAAGGATTCAAGCTCTTCCCAGGACACAGGTGTCCGTGCCCAGAACACAAGCTGGCTCTCCTGGTGCTCACCCGCACTGCACACCTGCAGCATGCTCCATTCTTACTGTTGCTGTTCTGACCCCTACCAACCCAGGCAGAGGAGCCGTTTCCAGTGCCCGTGGAGCAGGTGACGGGCATCCCCTCTGAAGTCAGACTTGCACATCTGAGGCTGAGGGATTATCTCAAATGGTTGGACAGACAGGGTTCAGGGGTCATTGGTGAAACCCTTGGGTCATTTTCCAAAACATTTTGAATTAAAGTAACAGCCACAAAGGGAGACCAGACAAGGCAGGAAGAACCGTGCCCTTTGCTTTGTGGAGTTCACCCTTGATTAGACACTCGCGTCCACTAATCTTCCCATCGCCTGGACCCAAGAGGGACAGCAGACTCCACAGTTCAGTTTAACTACTCATGTGAAAGCAAAGTGTTTTCATGAAGGAAAGCCTGTCCTGTCCAACACCTGTGACCCTCCAGAGGTCTGTCCACCCCGCGTTCTCTCAGTCACGCTGCCTATTCCCCCAGACTCTCTCTGCCCGGTCTGCATTTTCATCAGCCAACGTAAGGCAGTAGAGAAACCCTCTAGGACACTAACCTGGGGCCCCTGCCTCCATTTGCTAATTTCTGGTCAGGGAAAGACTCGAGGGTAGCCACGATGCAGAGAAAGGTGAAAGGACTGGCCCTGTCCCCCTTTCATTAGGCAGATGATCACTGACCCTCCACGGCTTGGGAAGATTAGCTGCTGAATGCTATCCAACACTAGAACATAAACAAAACACAGTCCTGCCATTATGAATGCCCCAGTAGGGAAGACAAGCCCGAATACAATTAAAATACAAAGCAGGATGTGAGGAGTAGCAAATAGGAGTGCAAGATGATTCTGGATGGTGACATCATGTCTATCCCAGGGACAGAGAAACAGGACAGCCCTCGCAGAGGGGACTGGTGTCTTGCCTGTTACAATGCACAAGATTAAGGGCAAATACAGGGAAACTGCATTCGGGGAGCATAGCAAATGAAAGAGAGTGGGTGTGCTCAAAGAATAAATGTCATAGTTTTAATAAAAATTTGTGAATTTTAGAGAAAGTAAATAAGGTAGAAACTATGAACAAAAATTAAGTTGCAGTCAGAGAGCCGAGCACCTTCAGTGACAGGGCTGATGAGGTTAAAACTACTCTGGGTGCAGTGGGAGGGTAACAGTGTTAATCAGGAGGACGACAAAAGAGGAACTAGGAATGGCTTAGAGAGAGGATGGTCTGAGAACAGGAGGGCAGGTTGGAGAGGGCAGGGGCGTGGCAGAAGAGGCAAAGGTCAAGGACATGCAGAGGAGATGCAGAAACCTCCTGGCAATCCTGTTAAAGAGCTGCACATTACTTGGGAGTGGAGCAGAGATGGAAATGTGCACAGCCAACAAGCACATCTGTGCCATCACAGACCTATAAGAGACCATGCAAAGAATAGTCCCTTTCCCCCTCAGCAAGCCTATCCCCACAGACTCCTGTAGAATCTGTAGAACACACACTCCAACCACTGTTGTTGGCCCACAGCATAATTCCAACCCAGTGTGATTCTAGAAGGACCAACCAGTGCTAGGCAAATGGGTCGGCAGACACGGAGAGTCTGGAGAAGAAAGGGCCGGCTAAGAAAATCCCCTGGGCCACACCATGAGTAGCAGGAAGCTGCTGCTGATTAACATGGCTGCCCACTCCCCGGGGTGAGCCTCCCGCTCTTCTTCCTCAGTGATTCTTAACAGTAGCATCTAGACCACTGTTCAGAAAGTACGCCACACTTCAAGTTTACTGTTAGCTTATTAGAATGGGAGCTTCCCTACATCTCCTTCACCACTTTGCACAATAGATATCTGATGAGTGCTTAAGTTAAGGCACTATCCTCTCTTACACACACACACACACACACACACACACACACACACACACACACACGCCTTCACTGGCAGCTATTTCCTTGGAGGAGGGGGTGAGAGATGGGGAACATGCAGGCAGGCTGCCGGCTCCGCCCATCCCTCAGGGAATGACTCTGTCTGGCTTTGGCTTCTGATATTAAGGCCTCCTCCCTTGAGTAAGAGCCGTATTCAAAGAAATGTATGTGGATGCCCAGACAGCTTGACAAATGGTTGGGTTATTGATAGAGAACCTGTAACATCGCAGCGACTCAGGGCAAACCAGACTGGGGTGCTTGTTCTACTCACCTGTAACAAGAAATGACGATGATGATGATGATGATTACAGCAAACAACAGAACTACCCCTCCAGCCACAAGGAGGGGATAGTGGTGATCAGCTTTACCTAGGAGAAAAAACAAAATCACAGTAGAAATTAGGGATCAACTAATGCCACAAAAGGAAGGTTGGAAAATGAAGAAAGGGCGTATCAATCAGGATGGAATATTAAGAACAGAGAAGACAGTAAAAAATAGGTTGGATTGAGAGAAAAAAAAAAAACAATTTTCTTTTAGAGGCTCCTTGATATTTCTGACTCCTCACAGGTTCGTATCTGTTCCTTGTTAAGCTGGATTCGACAACATAAGAAATAGAATCTGTGGAACATACACTCCAAAAAGCTCCCAATCCCATGCACAAAACCTTTTGTAGAAGAAAATAGCTACTGAAATAGCCTACTTAGGGAGGCCAATTTTTATGTTTGACGTGTTCATTACGCTGAACACACAACAGTATGTAACCTTAATGTTAACCCACAGAATTTTGTTTAAGAATATCTTCAACTACATTTGAGTTGATGATAAAAGTCAGGGGAAGCATGTTACTCCAACTCAGAGTTTCCCAGAAATGGACTGAAGTGGCGCGGGAGTCTGGAGCCTCGTCCTGGGCCTGTCACGGTGAAGCGGAGGGCCTCCAGCAGAGGCGTCCTTTACCTTCCCTGCGTGGGCCTCTCTTTATTCCAGTGGTGGCGATGACTCGGTTCTGATGACACCATGGAGCTGTGGTAGGACTCTAATGAGCTGTTGTTCCAAAGAATGCAGAACTAATCCCACAGCAACGTCACCTCTGCAGCATGAGCCCCCACGGGTCAATACCATTTCAGCCTTCTGCCGGGGCCTCCTGGCCCAGCACACCCCACCCATCGCCACCCACAGAACACCTGTGGGGCACCTCCCCCGAGGAGAAGCCCATCTGTCCCCGTGGCTGGTGGGAATGGGGCTGACGTGCACTGGACCTGTTCTCTTCACTGTGTCTTTCTTTGGGACAGCAGATTTGCCCATCTTGCCACACAGGAAGGGCGTGGGCTACAGCACAGTTCAGCTTCCCTCCCTCTTGAGACCGAAAGTAGAAGACTTGTGACTGCAGGGGTCTGGAGCCAGCGCAAGTGGAAAATCATGCTTCTCCACCAACTCTCGCCCCTCCTGTCCTCAGACCACCTCTTCCCTCCTACGTCACCACGTCCCTAAAGGTTTTTCCATGACAAGAACTCACTGTCTAGACCCCCTCAGTCTTCTGGGAGCTTTACTACAATGACAGATGATAAACTTTTTTATGCTTTAAATTTGTTCATCCTAGATTCTACATGGAGAAAAGATCAACCATGCAGTATTTTTCTCTCCGTGCCTGGCTCACTTCACTTGGCATATATCCTCCAGGTTAATCAGTGTTGCTGCAAAGAACAGGATTTCCTTCTTTTATAAGCTGAATATTATTCATTGTGTCTGTAAACCACGTGTTCTTCATCCACTTGTCTGTGGATGGGCACAGAGGCTGTACCCACCTGCTGACCATCATGAATTATGCTGCATGAACA